ATCAGTATTAAGTTTGAATTAAAATGATCTAATACATGTATAAAAAGTAGTTTATATTACAATCACAGTACGATCGCAATGTGCTAATAATTAACTATTTAATAAATTAGATTTGTATCAAAAAAGTATTGTATTGTAAAAGATTTGTATCTATTAATTAATTCAGTATTTTAGAATATTAAAAATATATTATAATGATATGCAAAATTGTTTATTTCTAATCTACATTAATTAAAAATAATTTGAAAATAATGAAATGATTGGCATTATGAATACGTTTGCATTAATATGATAGCAAAATCAGATTAAAGCTAACGTATGCTAATGAATGAATTACTTGTTTTAATACTTTTTATCATTTAATAGGCGCTGAAATATAATAATACTTCAATTGAATGCACTGTTTTTATAGATTACTAAATATTGGTGTGAATTAATTCAAACAGGTATACAGTATTGGTATCAAAAACATGACAACACTTTCTCTATTAAAAAGTCGCGAAGAGTTCGGGAGTTTAAGGGTTCGGCCGTTGTTTAACAAACCAATGAATCCCTGTCCACACCGGGAATGGGTGTTACAGGAGATCACAAAGTGGTCCAAAGGGTTCTCCCACTACAATCAAAAGACAACATTCGCTGCACTTCTCTTCACTGAATATCTGTTCAATAGCTATAAATCCAGGGAAAGGCTACTGAATGCCAACAAATTAATGGAATTTTTTGTTTATATGGATAATGATATGGAAAGGGCTCGTAGGGAACGGTCGCCAGAATTACTGCGAGAATTGATGGATAAGCTGTTGAATGCAATGGAAAGCGGACGATGCGATCAGAGCTTTGATTCCGGTATTGGATTTGCAAATAAATAAGATTTTGTGATTTAAATGAGTAATACATTTATGACATAATAGGGCGCAGGCTGTTGGATGTGATGTCCATTCTGGACGCACAGATGAACGAGTGCTGGAAGTCTAATATGAGACAACACTTGCGGGATATGTTTGTCACCCAAACCCGCGTTCACTGCGATTATTGGCTTAAAGGCCGATTCATACCATACGATGAATACAATGGCATTCGTCTACAAGAATCAGGTATTAGTTAGAGTTATGGTCAACACAAATGAATATATAATTTGTATGAACACTACAATCATATTATTTAATATCTATTTTCCTAACTTCTAAACCCATGAAAGGGTGGCCTTTGATGCTAACACTCGTCGAGTATTTGATGGATTATACCCTTCCAGAGGCCGTCCGTAATCACCCGCTTATGTATGAATTCATGTCATCCGCGGCTAAACTGTCTCTCGCTGTCGACGACTATATGCTTCTTAAGGCAAAACTGGCCACAAATGACATCACAAGTGGTGTCCTGTCGTACGCCCACA